TACTATCATTATCATTCATTTCTATGTATCTCTTGATCTCTCTTTTTTATTTCTTCTCTGACCCAGTTATTCTTCAGCCACGTGTTGTTTAATCTCTATGTATTTGTGGTTCTTTCTGATTTCTTTTTGCTTTTGATCTCTAGTTTAAAAGCATTATGATCAGAGAATATGGTTGGTATGATTTCAACCGTCTTATATTTGTTGGGCTATCTCTGTGTCCTAGTATGTGGTCAATTCTTGAGAATGTTCCATGTGCACTAGAGAAAAATGTATAAGCACTGTTTTGGGATGGAAGGCTCTGTAAATGTCAATTATGTTCAGTTGGTCTAATGTGTCATTTAAGGATGTTATTTCCTTATTGATTTTCTGTTTGGATGGTCTGTCTATATCTGACAGTGAGGTATTTAGTGTTTCGGTCTGTTTCTCACTTTAGTTCTGTTAGTAATTGCTTTACATATTTCCGGGCTCCCTGATTGGGAGCATAGATATTAATAAGTGCTATGTCTTCTTGGTGCATGATTCCCTTTATCATTATGAAGTGTCCCTCAGTATCTTTCTTTACCTTTTTTATTTTGAAGTCTATTTCGTCTAATATTAGTACCGCTACTCCCGCTTTTCTGTGAATGCCATTTGCTTGAAATATTTTCCACCCTTTCACTTTGAGTCTAGATTTGTCTTTGGAGCTGAGATGGGTCTCCTGAAGGCACCATATGGTTGAGTTTTGTTTTTTGATCCATTCTGCAACTCTGGCACACTTTCTTCTTATGAGCTCCAGATATCTATCTCATTTTATTATGATTATCATTTTGAGAATTTTCCACAGATACATCAACATTGCTTAGACTGATGTATCATCTCCTTCCCACCAAACCTGCTCTACTTCCTCTATTTCTCACTTCTGAGAACAATACAATAATATCAACCTGAAAACATGGACGTCTTCTCCATTTTATTCCTTTCACTCCACACATCTAGGTTTTCGAAGTTCAGTTTTACTAAATAGATACAGGAAGATCTGATGATTTTATTCAATACCAGTGAAAAGGAGTGTGTGATATTTTTCTCCAATATCCCTAACACTAATGGGATATCTCATGAAATTTCATTTTGGTCAACATTTTGTAGGAAAACCCAAGACTTAACACAATTATTTCTGTCTAGTTTGTGTTTTCTTCCTGATGATCCATTTAATTTTATTTCCTGTTACTCAAAGATACATCTGTTCTCCATAGGATGTCCTGATCTGTGATGACTCAAGGCAAATTCTATCAGTTTGACACCAATCTTTCTGTAGAACTTTGCATAAGCTTGGGCAAAACTACTGGCAATCTTTAAATGTATTTTCATAATTCTCTTTTTGAGCTTCCTTTATCTTTTAATAAGCAGAGAATGAAGTTCTAATAAAGGTTCCTCAAATCATAGTTCATTTCAGACACCTCAGAAGCCCCCGTCCCAGCATGCCAGTCTCTTTCAAAGTTTACAAGTCAGTGTAGATGTAGTTGTTTCCTATGTTAGTGTGATTGTTATAAGCTGTTTAAACTGTTATGGTTACCAATCTCTGTTAAAAGGTTCAGGTAATATGGTCATGAGAGCCAAAGAGGCTCTCAAAGCATCCTTGTGGTTGCTATAAATTTTTCTAAGTATCTAAGATACAGTCTCTGCTTTCAAGATACTTAAAAATAACTTGGGAGGTAAATGAAATATAAAAGTAACTATATAAATTTTATTTATAATAATGACTAAGTCCTATCGTGTCTCCTAAGTGCTAAACACCATCTATGTGCTTTACTTGTATGAACTTGGGGCAAAGGTAGGTTAACTTGTCCAAATGGACAAGCATCAGAGTCTGCTCTTAACCACTGTCCTCTATAATCTCTGCATTAACCTGATCTCTTAAGGTTGATATCAAAGTCTCCTGCTGGGTTATAATCCCTGTGGTAGGTTGAGGAAGTCATCACCTCTTCCAACCATGCTAAATAAGTGTGAGTTTGTTACTGGACTTCAAGGATAGGCTGTCTTATTCATCATTATGTTCCTAACTTCACTGCGGGCCTGACACTCAGCAAGAACTTAATGAATAAAAGGTTAACAGTCACTATATTCTACTTTGTGAGGATTATATAGGTTACTCTCATTTAGTTCCCACAACAACCTTATGAGGTATGCACTATTATTATTCTCATGTTATAGATACAGAAGATGAAGCTCAAAAAATCCTGGGTCACATCGCTAATAAATGGCCACGGCAGACCTTGAACCTGTACCTGTCTGACCAATACTCATGCCCTAACCACTTGAATATATTCCCCTTGAGCCTCTGACTATTTTCAAAAATGGTAGCACCAATGCAATAAAGCAAACCCTTTGAAGAAACAATATTCCTCCGTTCTGTTAGGTGGAATTGGTATTTATTTTTTAAAATCTGTTTAGAACGTCTCGAAGGAGCAGTTCTCTTTAATCTTCATCTATGCCGCTAGCTTTGAACTATGCTTGGTGCTGTGATAACATGATAATCACAATATAGACATGGTCTCTGTTTTCATAGTGCTCATTATCTCTATAAGAATTTTATGAGGAGCTATTATGTGCCTGGTGTTTTGCATGCACACTCTCTAAACCTGTTGGCAACCATGTAAACTAGTTTTGTCTATCTCCATTGTACAGGTGAAAAAAAAGTTTAGTTCCTAAGAGGTTAGTAGTTGTCCAAGAAAGACAGTAAGTAGCAGAAACATTGATTAGGATACGGGTATATCTTTCTCAAAGCTTGTACTTTCTCTACTACCCCATTCAGGGAGGGTAGCCACGTGATTATCTAGAGATACGTTCATTACTTATGAGAATTGAGGTTGGTGATATTCACTAGTGACATCCTATAGCAGAAAGGTACCAACAACCTCCCCTGATATATATGACTTAGTTGATGACTTGAAGTAAAATAACTACCATCGAATGAATAATAAGTCTGTACCTGGCATTGTATTGAGCCCATCCCATGCACTGCCTCTTTAATCCTCACAAGTCAAAGTACAGATTCTAATATTAATACCCATTTTACAGATGAGAAAATAGAGGCTTAGTGTGAGATTTAGCAAGTTGCCTGAAGATGTATAGCTGGTGAGTGAATGAAAGTAAATCTGTCCCCAACTCAGAATCTTTATCATGAAGGAAATCTACATAAATATTTTAAACTGTTTGTTGATTTAACAATCTTAGAAAATTTTATAATATAGGCGTGACCAATAAAAATCTTCAAATATACCTATTTGAGAATATGACAGGTTTTCTTTATATTGGCTTAATTTGTGCATCTTATTACAGAAAGAAGGTCATCTCACATGGACAGATGGATCATCTTTTGACCTTAAGAAAAATGAGATCTTTTCTTTTCCACTACTACCCAAGAATGAAACACATTGCTACATTTTACAGCAAAATGCAACTGGCTCAAACTATTTTTTTGCAAGATTTTTCTGTTATGTTCCATTGCCATATATTTGCAAATATGAAAGTAATTATTTTTTAGTATTCTTATGTTTATGCATCTCACTTTTATAATTTTAAAAATAGAATTATAATTTATAATTAAAATAATTCTTTTTTTGTATTTCAGCACCTTTTCTGCAGGAAAACTTTTCAATTTATATAAAGGATGTTGGAACAACTGAAGTTGTATTAAGTTGGAATAATTCGAATGGGTGGAATAATTTGAATAAGTGGCTGAAACTAGGATATAAAATTATCATTAAATATTATTTAAATTATACAGAACAACATTTTGAGAGCATGCCTCCAAATACTACAGAAAAATCAATTACCCAACTGTCTCCTGGCCATGTATACAAATTTTTACTCTTTGCAATAAATGAATGGGAGGCGAAAACTACGTTAAGTCCAGTATTCACTGTTGAAACACGTAAGTTACAAGACATCTAAAATTATAAAATTTCAAGTATTTAATATCAATAGTAGATATTTCCTGGGGATCTGGTATTTTCTCATAACACTTAAGGCATACCTGCAACTTTGTCAGTTTTAAATTACAATGAATCTGTTTATATGTTTGACTTACCTTAAACTAGAAGCTTGTAAGAAACTATATCTTATTTGTTTTATAGCACCAGCTAGACTGGTGCCTAGTCTATGGCAGATAATAAATTTCTGTGGAAATGAATTTGCGATATATGTTAATAGCAAGAGATAAACAGATGTGTGTTTCTGGACTTTAAGAGGATTACAATTAGAGAAAATTAGTGAGGGATAAAAGTAAATGCAAACAAAACTATATAGCAAAATATAACCTAAATTTCCACTAGGTGGTGCATGAAATAAGTGCTTTCCAGAATTCAGAGGGTAGGTGACAGGGGAAGACTTGAGGAAAGGAAAGGCTTAGACTCTAACTTGAAGGAAGAAAAAATACATATGAGCAAATGTCTGAAGATATGAATTTGTGAGCAAAGAAAAATGCAGACTGACTGGAGATTTCCTTGGGCATGAGGGTAAAATCAGTTTGAGAGGTAGATGGTGCCAGATTTGGGACTATGAGGAATCTCTGTTTCAGATGATTGAACTTGACCTTAGAAGCAGTGGAAATCCATTAAGGCTATAGTTTTAAGACTTGCTTAACCTTCCAATAAGCACTTTTAATGCATTACTCACTCAGTCCTTACCTCAACTCTGGGAGTAGCTATATAGAAATGAGAAAACTGAGCTTCAGAAAGGTTAAGTAAACTGACTAGAATAGCATGCTTTGTTAAGTAGTAGAGCCAGACAGGAACTCAAATGGTTTTATTTTAACTCTTGAGATATTGCATCTAAAGAAAGAAGGGAGGGCAGGGAACGGATATGGCTTTGTGGCTGTAATGTGCAAGGTGCCGTTTTAAGAAAAGTAATCTTCAGGGATTAACCAGGAAAATCACTGGCACTGGATGAAATGGTTTGTAGTGGGTAAATATTTCTGTAACGGGATGAATGCCCCAGTTCCAGTGATGATGAGAATCAAGAGTGATTAATATGAAGTCCCTGCCCTCTAGTCTGACATGATCAGACTAGACGTGATTTAGTGATCACCGAATGCCTTATTAAGTGCCACTTTGGTGCTGCTTGTAATAAAAATAATGATTGAATAATAATATGTGTCGAACACTGTGCCAAGTGTTTTACATTCCTTATCTTATTTGATCTTCACAATAATTTCAGAAGGCATTACTACTACAATTCCCATTTTATAGTCAAGAAAGTGAGGCTCAAATAGAGTAAGTAATTTACTCAGGAAGGGGAGCTAGAAGGTGGAAGAGCTATGACTCATACCCAGTGTTTCTTTTCTCTTCAAACCAGAATATTATGGAAGTACTGAGAAGTGAGAGATTATTCAACCAAACCACATCACTAATATCATGTATTTTCTGATATTTTTATCTCATAGGCCCGTTATCACCTCAAAATTTCACAGTTACTCATGTGACCCCAACGGAAATATTTTTACGCTGGGATCCTCCAGATCTTGTATCTTTTCACCATTACCTTGTGACTATTTTGGATCTTGAAAACAATAAATCAGAAGAGGTATTTGTTGCAAAACTCAACACATCAGCAACAATTAGAGATCTTAAATCTTTCCATCATTATCTGATATATCTATTCAGTGTAGCAGAAAGAGGAACTCTAAGCCGCTTTGAGAAACCTATTTCAGTCATTACAGGTAAGTGTGGACATATTTTGCTTTTTAATCCAAAATATAAATTACACATGTTGTAATATTATTTTGTTGAAATTTAGTGATGTCGATTCTTTATAGGTACAAATAAGTACAGTTGAATATTTGTTGAAATGTTAAATCACAACTTTATGCATGGATTATAAATACTAAATTCATTTAGATATAAACATCTGAATTGTTCCTACCAGAGTTCCTAGAAGACATCTTCCTTATCATAACCTTGGCTAGAAAATAAATTATCATAAAATATGAAGATTACTTTACTCAATTTTCTTAACAACACTAGATCCATCAAATAGGTCTGTGCAGTTACTTTATTTTCTCTCGCAGTGTGATGAGTTGACCTCTAGGGGGCAGTCTCATCCCAGGACTCTGGCCAATGCATTTCTAATCAATCCACAGGGCAGTTTTTGAATCCTTGTCTACAGAACGAAATCATTAATCTTTCTTTTATTTAAGCATTCTATTCACCCTCTTAAGTATAAATCATTCTTTTTTGAAAAGGTAAAACACTATTATATGAAACAATGCATAACTAAGCACATTTTGGCAGCATATCCCTGTGTGTGTGATATGTGTATTGTTTGTGTGTGTGTGTATTTAGCATGCCTACATGCAAAGTTCTTTGAAATTTCATCAACTGAAATTTAAACACCCTAGAACTGAGGTAAAAAACCTGCACAAGCACAGCCATAGATTAATTAACCCCACACTTACCAGAAATACTTGAGATTCTTTGAAAATAATAACAATAAGAAAAGATATTATTTAATGCTTACTAAATGCAAATGCCTAACATGTATTCAGTGTTGCAAATCTTAACTAAAAATATTTTTCCAATTGTACACTAGATAATAGATGTTTTTTCTTGCCTGAGCTCAGACAAAGCATCCTTTAATTGATAAATACTTGGTTAAGTTCCTTACACTTTAAGAAGATGCTTCCATTTTTAACTGACAGGTGGACTTGGAGGATTTCTCACAAGTCTATTAATTTTGAAGTCATATTAAAATCTCCCATAGTATGTACCTATTTGTTTAATCGAGGGACAAGAGGAAATGTACATGTCAGCCTGTACATTTAATTTTAGGTCATTTGCTATGTAAATTAACTATAAGCTGACACAGCAGTGCATATCAAAGATTTAGTAATTCAATGCTCTTTTAGTCTCCTAAGGTCGAGGTGATTTTCTTTTTTTTTTCCTTTATTATTTACTCAAATTAGTTTTTCAGTATCTGGAACTGCAATAGACACTAGCGATAAAGATGAATAAGACCTGCTGTCTGCCTTCCAAGTGCTAACATACTAATGGAGTGAGATGAACAAGTTAAAAAGCAGTGATAATGCTGTGTTGTAATTGTTATTATAGGGATTATGCTCTGGATTTTTGGAAGCATAGAGAGGAATCCACCCAGACTCAGGGTACAGGGATAGTCACAGAAGTCTTCTTGTGGAAGAATGGTACTCTGAGTCATAAAGGAAGAGCAGGTATTCACCAGGTGGGAGTAGGGAGGCAGAAGGATGTTGCAAGTAGAGCAAATAGCATGTACGTAGGTAAAGAGGACCAAAGAGGTATCTATCTAGTTATACCTGGAAAAGCCAGAGAAGGCTTTTTGAAAACACTGACATTTAAACATTAGAAAATTGGAAGTAGATTAACATGACTGGAAAGGGGCATGACAGTGGTCCTCAACCTTTTTTGCACCAGTGACCAGTGCTCCTATGAGAATCTAATGCCCGATGATCTGAGGTGGAGCTGAGGCGGTGATGCTAGTGCTGGGGAGCAGCTGCAGATATAGATGAAGCTTTGCTCGCTTGCCCACCGCTCACCTGCTGCTGTGTGGCCCGGTTCCTAATAGGCCACGGTTCCTAATGGTACCAGTTTGCAGCCTGGGTGTTGGAGACTCTCAATGTAGAGAGAGTTTAGAAAATATAAGCTAGACACAGAATGTAAAGGACTTTGATACATAACAAGGAGTATATTTTTATTCAGTAAAATTTAACTTCTTTGGGATCATGGAACCTCTTGAGAATGTGGAAAATGAATGGACCTTCTCCCATAAGAATGCACGCTGGTACCAGTTTGCAGCCTGGGTGTTGGGGACCCTCGATGTAGAGAGAGTTTAGAAAATATAAGCTAGACACAGAATGTAAAGGACTTTGATACATAACAAGGAGTATATTTTTATTCAGTAAAATTTAACTTCTTTGGGATCATGGAACCTCTTGAGAATGTGGAAAATGAATGGACCTTCTTCCATAAGAATGCACATGCATGCACAGAAAATTTTGTAATTATAGGGCTATCACAAACTTAGCAGATATCATCATTTTCTCAATCACTGCTTATATGCGGCATTCAGTAGATTTCATTTAATTCCTCTACTGAAGTAAAGGTTTATAACAATTTATAAGTTTTACAAGTACATAAAAACAAAGATCTGAAGTTGTTTCACTCTGAAATCTTGTGGACAGCTTTTCTAATTGGATTATGCTGGCATTTTTTAAAAAATAATTTTACATAAACAATCAATTTCAACACTTAAAGTCAGGCCAACTGCAACTCTGTAAAATTAAGGTATAGGATGAACACACTGTGGATTTGGCTGAGAATATTTTCCTGGAAAATTAAAATGTGGCATGTGTGTTGATAAAGGAGTAACAGATTAAAAAGAAATTATAATTTCTGCTAAGAAAGTAATTATGAAAGTCATAAATCTTTAAGGATTATTTAAAGTAAAACTACTGAACAGTTTAAAATTCTACAAATCATTCTTATAGTAATGAACTAATGATTCATCTTGCGCTTGGGAACTATTAAAAGTTCAGGGGAAGTACATAACACAGAACAAACAATTAAGGCTAAAAGGAAGGCATTACAATGTCCAGAGAGTTGCATAAAAGTAAAAACCATAATGCTTGATGTTTGAATAAATTGTGTGAGGAGATAAACCAAAGTATTGTCTTTGGTTTTTATAATAGACTATCAAGAAAATTCTCCGATTGTGTTCTCCATGAATTGTAAACACAATAATTTCCTTTCTTTCTAAATGAGTGTCATAGCTTTCAGAAATTAGAAAGATAATGTAATTTAAAGTTGCAACTATCTTTATGATAAATACCAGTCCCAAAGCTTTAAAAATCATCTACATGTTAGTGATGACTAAATTTATATCTCTAGTTCAGACCTTTCTCCTGAACTAAAGAGTTAAATATTTAACTGCCTGCTCATTCTATCTCATTTGGCTAAGAGACATCTTAAATTGAATATGACCAAAACTGAACTACAGATGTTTCCACCCAAATCTGCATTACTCATAGCCCTTTTCCATGTGAATTCACAGCCATTTAATTCATCCAATTGTTTAGGTCAAAAACCTTGAAAGTATCTTTGACCCTTGTGTTTCTCTTACAGCCTACACCCAAACTGTCAGGAAATCCTGTTGATTCTGTCGTTGAAAATCCAGAATCGTAATACTTGTCCCAACTTCACTTATGGCTATTGTCATCCAGGCCACCACTCTCTCTCACCTAGATTACTGGCTTTGCTCCCTTGTTTTTACCATTTGTCCTCTTTATAGTCTGTCATTAATATAATAGCCCAAGTGATTTTTTTAAAATTTAGGAAAGATTATACCTCTGCATATAGCCCTGTAGTTGCTACCTGTTTTATTCAAAGTAAAAGCCTATGAAGCCTTGCATGACCTGGCTTCCTATTAACTCCGGCCTCATCCTATGACTTTTTCCTTCACTCTGGCTTACTTTCTGTGTTTGAAGATGCCGGATAAACTCTTATCGTAGGACTTTTATTTTAGCTGTTTTTTTCCTGCCTGGAATTCTCTTCTTCCAGAAATCTGCATACCTAAATTCCTCCCCTCCTTTAAGTATTTTGTTCAAAATCTCATCTTTTCAAGGACCCTTTCACTTGCCCTGAATTCTCTATTTAATACCACAACTTCCTGCCTATATCCACCACACTCCTGAGCTCCCTAACTCTGGTTTAGATTTTTTTTTTCCTTAGCATTTATCTAAAGTACTATGTAATGTACACATTTGTTATATGTATTGTTTATTGTTTATTTCTATCCATAGAATATAGACTCCATAAGACAATAATCTTTGTTATTTCTTCCTGATGCACTCAGCGTGCCTGGGAGGATGACTGATGCGTAGTAGGTGCCCATGTATATTTGATAAAAGACTGAATAATCTCAATAATGGGAACATTACTCTGATGGAACCCTTAAAAATCTGAAGAAATTGCTAAATAGTTTCTGTTTTCCCTTGGTGTGCAATACATGTGCTTAATTATATTGATAAATCTTGCCTAGTAATAGCAAGACATATTTTCTTCCAAAATTGAGTCCTTTTCAGGATGGGGCAACATAAGGATTTGATTGGTTTTTTAATTTTATTTTATTAGTTTCAAGTATACAGTACATTGGTATATTTTACAGTACATTTATATAGTTTATAAGATGATCCCCTAATTTCTCTCCTATGGCTTTGTTAAATTTACTTTAAGTACTAATTAATATTGACTGGGATATTTTTACTCAATAGAGTGAGTACTGCTAACAGTAAACTAAGATATGGGCATCTATTTCTCTGTTTCTTTAAGGTATCAATCCACCTCAGAAAGTTTATGTTACACCTGAGGATGTGGGAGAGGACAGTATAGTGCTTCAATGGGAATCCCCACCAGATGGCCACGAGGTCTACATTCAAATCAAATCCATACCAGATACAAAACAAGTCATGAATCTTTTTGTAAAGGATGCTAATAGATTCAAGATTGATAATTTAACCCCCGGAATGACATATGACATTGGAATGGCAATGGTGATTAACGGGAACTTGAGTGAACTGGTAACTATTCAACAGACTTCAAGTGAGAATCAAATACTTTTTGTTTTTAACATATATTTGCTGATCTCAGGGTACTGTAAAATATTCTCTATAGACTCACCTTATAGTGGTTTTTACCTTTTTAAGCAGCTTGTTGGCGTACTTCATATAATAGTAGCGTTGAGACCTGAGTAATTCTTATCCCTTTTATCCTGGCAATGCTCCCTGATTATAGAAAGGCAGTATTGTTTATGATTAAGAACTTGACCCTAAAGCCATACTGCTGAGGTTTTAACCTGGGTTCAACTATTTGAATAACCGTAGGCAATGTACTCAACCTGTTTATGCCTCAGTTTCCACACTTATAAAATGGGAGAAAATAATAGTATGTATTTCATAGTATTCTCTGAGAATAGCTGATTGAATAAATGTAAGTACTTAGCACACTCCCTGATATATAGCTACATAAATACTTATGATTATTATTATATCAACAAAGGCATGCTGTAGCACATTGGAAGGAAAATTTGATGGTGTATAAAAGGTTTAGGACCAAACCAACAAAAAATTTCTATGTCTATTCTCAAATAAGATTAATTCGCTCAATACAAAGTCATTGAAAATCTATTAATGAGGGAGAAAGGCAATTAAAAAAGTGAAAAGCAAAATAAATGAAACAATGTTTATACGTGTTTATAAATTGTGATAAACATTAGGAGGGGAAAAAAAGCAAAGTTCTGTGGTTGACAGTAATTGAAGAGGAATGGAAGGTTCTACTGCATATAAATTGTAATAGAGGGAGTTACATTTGAATGGAGGCTTAAAGGATAAGAAGGAGCCAGAGTAGAATGAGGTGGTGCAAGGGTACATCAGGCATGAAGGCTGTAAAACGGGAAAAAGCTTGGTGTATCTGAGAACAAAAAGCCCAGAACGTATGGTATCTAATTAAGAAGGAGAAGGGCAGTAGGAAATGATATTAGAGAAGTTTTCAGGGGTGAGATCATAAAGAGATTGTAGCCTATGCTTTTGAGTTTCTTTTCAGGGTAGTGGGAAGCCACTGAGAGTTTTATGCGGGTGAGTGACAATGTGGCCTATGTTACAAAAATTTACCTATGGCTATGTGCAAGAAGGATTTGTAAAGGGGCAAGGAAACTGGGTAAGAGGGTATTGGAGAATCTAGGCAAAAGATTATGGTGGACAAGATGGGGAAATGCAAATGGATAGTAATAGATACATTTTATATTATGGAAGTAGGTGGTCCCAGCTTTAAAGCTGGAGTGCTTGTGATGAATAAATGAAAAGAGAAATTTAGGATTTTGACTTGAGCAATTCGGGTAGATAGTGATGACTGTGAAGAAGGAAAGATTATTGGACCTCACCAGCCTTTTGGCTAACAATAAGGGCAGCCTGGTGGGGAAAAATGGATTGGCCTAAAAAATTCTTTATGAGAGGTTTCCACACTCAACCAACATTGAATCTTCCCATTTTATCCTCCAAAGACTAAAACTAAATTCATGTATGGCACTTTCATACTTAAATTTCTGAGAAAATCTACCTAAACATAATTATCATAGGAAACAGTTATTCAAAAGAAAACTACTATTAAAGATATTGCTGAAAAGAATGATTTCATGCCTATTAAACATCTTAACAAATATTTATTGGCAGAATGAAAGTACTAAAATTAAAATGCATAGATGGGAAATGAACTGCAGTCTTATATCTAGCGATTATTAGCAGTGTGAGATTAGAGTATCCCTATATTGTCTCGGTGCCTAAGTTTACTCTCTAAAAAATTTAGATCCTATTCTTCTTTGACTCTAGACAACTTAGCATATTTCAACCAATCTGCCATCTAATAGAAAATTTTTGCCTCCCTTCCTAGTTAGTGATCTCTTTCGCAATTTTTTTTTTTCAGCTTTGTACCTTCAGTTGTAAGCACAGTTCTTGGCTTTATTTAATTCAAGCACTTATTTGTAAAACTGCTATCCAACATGGAGGCTGAAACATGAGTTAACATACATAAATTTTAGGAAGAATGATAGAATATTGGTGTTTGGACAGAGATCTTGCCCATCTGATATGGAATTCCTGCATAGTGCCTGTGATCATTTTGGAAAGTTACATCCTTGTCACTTTCCTCTGTTATGCAGTCATATCTGTTCTCCAGAGCATCACAGAGCAAATCTACTCCTGGATTCACATGAAAGGCCATCAAATATTTGTTTGGAAACAGACATTTTGTGATCCTGGTATTTATAGTTTCTTTCTTTCTGGTGAATTATCTCTAGTTCCTTCAAGCATTCTACTATTTCTTATAATCCTATTGGCTTTTCTAGTCATTTTTAAAGCTTAACAATCATCTTTGGCATCACCAGATTATTTATCATTCATCATTTGTACTTGTCTCAAGATAATAAAGCAAATATTAATTTATCCCAAGGTGCAGAGGTAGAAGTTAATGCTTTCTGTGCATTCATTCAACAAATATTTGCTGATTATTATTATTGTACTATTTTTCTCTTTCCTACACACTTTGAGGCAGTTACCCATAGAGAGGCATTTTCTTTTTAATAAGCTTTTGCAGACATGTAGAAGAAAATAAAATTTATATATTCATTTGTTTCCCTTTCCCCTTTGAAACACGTTTTTCTTTCTCTCTAAATTATTCTGAACATAACTAGCAAAACTTGATTTCCAGTTATTGTTGTGCACCTTGAACCATAAAATGTGCCTTTCAGGAGAAGGTGGTGCTTACAAGCACAGACCTTGGAATTGGATTGCCCAAGTTAGAATTCAAGCTTCACAATTATTAGTTTACATCCGTTGAGAAGTTGTTCAACTTTTTTGGTGCTCAGTTTCCTTCTCTCTAAAATGGGAAAGGTAATTAATCTTATCTACCTTATGAAGTTAATATAATTTAAGGACTTCGACACCAAGCAAGCTCTAGGAGAGTGTCTATTGTTAGGATTTTTACTTCTCAACAGGAGTGGAGTGGTGGCATTGAGGAGCAGTGGTCCGCTTAGCAGGAAGTAAAGCCATTCCAGTGTCTATGTGGTCTCCCTTTGTTGGAGGAATTTAACTATACCCAAGTTTTCTTGAGGGAAGAAGAGCTCTAGGAGAGCTCGCGTTTGTGTTTTCTTTATTCTTTTTGCTATAGAATAAGTTTCAAGATAGACTGGGCATCCCTGACATCTCATTCTACCTTGTCTGTAACAAAAGACTTTGAATTTGGGCCAATTCAGTTTATCTCATATTGAAAAAACCTCACACAGCCCTCAGGGTTACCATTTCTTTTGAAAGAGGTTTTGCAGAAAAATGGGTAAGGATAGAGGTCACAGTCACAGTGGCAGAGACCCATCAGAAGTCTCCAAAATGTGGTGAGAACTTTCTTTTTTTTTTTTTTTTGAAGCGAAATCTACTCCAACTTGAGTTTCCAGAGGTTCAGGAGATAGTTTTGAAGAGAAGGAAGAACTTTGTCCCATTCTACACCTTTCCGGCCTTGGTGACCCTTCACTTTACCATGTCATGCATTAACGCCATTGGCACCATTTCCTTGGGCACATGGAATTAATGGGAAGCCCCACATTTACCCACCAGAGAGAACGTCACCGACTCTATATACTTTTATGACTTACATCAGACTATGCCTATTTAAAGCCTTGTCTCTCCCAAGAACATGGAAGCGAATTGTTTCCATGACTACACCGGTCACTCCTTTCCAATCGCCAGATCTTTAATTCCTGCTCGAGGAATTAAAGCTTTCACAGATTATTACCCACAGATTTAGATGTGTTGGATGCTTTTGGGATGTCACCCTAGCCTTGGAAAAGCCATATTTACTGTAAGAGCTTTGTTACTAAAGACAGCTGGAAGGAATTTAAAGCGGAAACTTACAAAAAAAATTAGTGGTGGACAGAAAAAGAAAAGATAATATAACTGGAAAAGGAAAAACATGGTAAAAGTGTCTTGAAACCCAGTAATATACCATATGGAATTTTTTATGGTTAGTATATTGAACAATTTCTCATAACCACCCAGAATAGAAGAGGCAAGAAAGTTATATGTAACAGCTGATGAATTAGTGGAGATATTGCACAGGTTTTTATGGTTTAGAATGCTAAATATGGGTGTATGTTTAAATCCTGACTCTGGAGAAAGTAGCAGAATCACATTATCAAATATTTAACAGTAACTTAGAACAAGTTCCATTGCATAAAACGAGATGTCACTAATAAAACTGAAAAGGCCATCTAATTATTCTCTGAAGGAAAAAGTACTTTTCAGAATATATTTTTTAGAAGAAAATATCTTCTTACAAGAAAGACAGATATAAGGATATACTGGGTGGTATCTCAATAATCTACAGATAGAATTGAAATTAAAATTGACCTCAGGAAAAGTAATGTGAATAGAAATTGTCTGAAATTTCAAATCTGCTCTAAATAGCACAGTAGAGGACTAAGGTACAATAAAGCTCTTTAATAGAGGTCAGAGAGAGTGTAAAATGTAAATGAATCCTTCCTCCAAGCTGTTGCCAGAACTGTGTTCCTAAAAATGAAATGAAATGTCTGCTGAAAATCCCTGTGCCTACAGGATAAAGTCTGACGTCCATAGCATGGCATGCAAAGCCTCTCACAGACAGAATTCAGCCTCAGAGGTGGCCCTTCCATGCTCTGTCCCCTTTCCTCAGATACACCCCATAATTTAACCATCCTGAGTGTGTACAGATACAATCTCTCATTTAATCATCACAATGATCCTGTAAAGTAGGTACTAGTCTCTTTCCCACTTTAGGAATGGGGAATCCAAAACACAGAGTGACTAAGTCACTTGCCAAAGACCCCCTACTAGTAAAGAGCAAAAGAACTTGATATTCTCATACACATGTCGATGCCCTTTTTGCTTTCCATGCCTTGATCATGAATTTTCTTTGCCAGAAATTCCCTTCTCACTACCTTTTCTGTCTCACACACACTCCTTTTGGTAAACTTGTACTATCCCTTAAGACTCACTGACTTCTGAAAGCCTTCCCCAATTATCTCTGTTAGAACTGTCATTTCTTGCTCTCTTCTTAACAGCTTTTTGCCCATGTCACCAGCTCAGCTCTAACCATTTGGGTTTCTAGTTAGTGATCAGTGAATCTCTTCCATGAGATTGAGAACTCTTTGAAAGCAGGAGCCTGGCCTTATTTATTTCATTTGAGTACCCATTCTGGGATATAGGTTCTCAAAAGAATTTGTTTAATAAATAAATAAAAAGGTAAAATATTGGAAACTCTCAAGTTATGTTTTTGAGACTGTTACTGAGAATCAAAAAATAAGTTAATTATGTACTTTTAACATAAATACACACAAAATATCCACCTTATTTCTGTCTAATGCTGACATAATAAACATAAGTTTAATGCATAGACACTGAATATCTCCACAAATTCTAGAATATGCTAGACAAAATACAGAGAAATTGCTAAAATTAAAAAAGTAATTATAAATCTTCCTTTTTATCTTTCAGAGCCCAAACCAGTCCAAATTGTTATCCCTTATGAAAGTCATAGTACCTCTGTAATCTTATTTGTTCAAACTCCTGATATTGGAGTGTTTGATGGCATACATGTTGTAACTGAAGGAGGGCCAAATGTAACCATGCCTTTAAGACATGACAGTAAAATAACTGTTGACAACTTAACCCCAGGCACAGAATATAATTTCTTTGTTTCCATCATCAGTGGGACTAAATTAAGTAATATGTATTATGTGCCTGCAGTAAAAACATGTAAGTATTTTAGGACTTGCATAAGCTTTTTCTTGATTTTGATTTTGTGTATCATTTCAAGTTAGTAGGATACATTCACTTTAATACAATTGTTCTGAAAGATCTATTAAAATAATTGCTGAAGCTGATCTTTTATTGCCCAAGTATACAGATTGAGCTAACCCTGTGAGATATTGAGAAATCATGGATTTTTAAAATAAAAATCTGTGTTAATGTCTTTAACAAAAAATATCTTTGTATATTAGTTAGAAATTTCAATGACTTAATCCAAGGGTGAGGAATGTGATTAATTTTAGGCAGATTATGAGAACTAGATTATATTTTTTGAAAGTATCACTTAAAGTATGTAATCTAAGTGTGTGTGTGCTCTCCCCACGCTGCCATTTGGGAAGAACTAGTGCATATGTTCCTTACCTCTTTGAATATTTACAATTAATATATATTATATTTGTTTATACCAATACTTACATTTTGAGATTCATATTGATTTTGATTTATCTTTTTTAAAGTTCCTCAAAAATTCTACAAATACTAATTTTGAACATTTAAGATGTGTGTAATTTATCTAAGCTATTCATCCAGTAGATGTAGCAATCAATGAATGGCGTAGAGTAATAAATGCCATGGAAAACCACATGGGGTCCTAAAAACATTAACATTTCCACTATAACATGTCCAGGTTCTTTGTGAATTGCTCTTTCTGTCTATAAATCTTTACATATATTATTATACCATCGTCTTCTTCCTCCCAAATTGTAATCCTTCCATGACTGTTTAAATTTAACTTTTCCATAAAATACTCCCAAACTGATGTCACGAATCACATTATTCCAATAACATTTTAACATATTTATAATCATCTCAGTATATGTTCATATTTTCTTTTGGCTTACGATTTTCATATACTTCTTATATCTGTATTCTCTGCCTCTCTTCCTTATATTATAAATCATTATGGGAAACATTCTCTTTGACAGTTCTTGTCTTTCAAAATAATTTCAAAATAGTATTTGGTCATCTAACTATATCAATATTGTGATATCAATCACCAAAATATATCGATATGTAAGAGTCTAAAGCTGCCATTTTTTCAGTTTTTCTGAAATATTTTTTTTTCTTTATGCTAAATGAGATCTTTAAATTTTGAAAACTAACTATTAAAACTCATTGGATAAAAATTTATTTTTAGCTTCAGCCAATATTTAATACCAGAAGGATTCTTGTACTTTGTCTAGACTTCATATTTTTCTCTCTGTTGTGTTTTCAGCTTATGCTAGTAGTTTCAGAAAGCTTTAATTTCTTTTTCCTCTTTTGTATATTATGCATTTGCTCCTGTGAATTTGCTCCTATGTGGTTTTTGGTGCAACATTAAACTTAGCTACCTGTAATGGTATTTACAATGACTCTGAGTATTGGCACTGATTATCATATTTTTATACTATTATCATATGTGTAAGCAACTACTTTTAATTAGGATAGAGAGATTGTTGATTAATATACTTTATTGTCCTTTTTTCACATTGTGCTTTTTTTTGTCTCCCTTTAAAGAGATAAATTAAAAGAAAAACTCAGCAAACATCCAAGAATTTAAGCATGTTGTGTGTTTTGGATAGGTTTGGAAGCACCATCAAATATCCATGAGGGCAAAGTTACAGACTCCTCCATAGAAATTCTCTGGAATCCAGCTGATGGAAATTTTCAGCATTATGAAATCACATGCATAAACTGTGCCACTGCTTTCATGGTATGTTAAAAGGGACTCTTGGAGGAATTAAACTTGAATCTCTCATGCTGAATCCAATATTACCACATTCTTACATTAGATAATAATGAAACTAAATAACCTCTAAATTTTTTTTTTTTTGGCCTGTGTTCGATTGTGGAGCATTTCTTAAATGAAAGCTTGCTAATTTATTCTTTTGGATTGGTAGGTCCAGAAGGTAGTGCAAGAAGCAGCAACATTTTCTAACCTGGATCCTGCCACAGTGTACACTTTTTCAATTCGCACTGAAAAAGAAGGTTTTAAAGACAGTACACCTAACATAAAAGAAATACAGACAGGTACAGTCTGTGTAAACACTTTAGTTATTTTTCAGTGTTCAAATACTTATTTGGTTCTTTTAGGAGAGATTTAATAAATAGTACATTCTTCCCAGATTTTCTTTACGGGCTGGCAGTGTCATCTCATGTCTTTTTTTGTGTTTCCCCTTCCTTATATGGTTAGCATAACCTCTCTTGTGTATGGATTGCCAGACAATAGAGTGGCTAATTGCCTGGGATCTAGCCAGATGCTCCATTTGAGATTTAATTTCTCCACTGTTCAGTTAAGCAGACAATGAAGTGCCATTTACCCAGTGTTACTAACTTACTCCCAATGGCAGATGGTGATTTATTCTGTGGTAGTCATATGAAATAAAGGGTGATTGAGAAGGATGTATACAAAATGTATATTTTCACATCTAGGTGAAGTAAAATTGTCAACTTTTATTTTATTCTACTAAAATAACTTTCAGTTATTCTTGACACTGATGCTATGGGAACATTAATTTATATATTTAGAAAGTGGTCGTGTCTGGCATTCTTTTGCTGTAATATCAACGAATGGCATTGGGAGAAATACCTTGGCAATTTTGTTTCTTTCTCAAACTGTGGAAGAATTTTAGAGAGGAAACAAAATGTCTATCATACACTATTTAACTTTTTTCCCTCAGGAAAAAAGGAAATCATTTCATATTCAGATTGTAACTAACTTTCCTACTGATTATCCTTGTCATAATTTGGTATTTAATTAGAATGAGTCCTTAAAATCATTAAATATTTCTAAGAGTGGTGGTTGTATAAGACCAAGATATAATCTCTTCCTACATTTTAGAGACAAGGGAAATATTGAGTACAAGACCACTGGGATACACACTGGCTTTATTTCAAAGTTTAAAAAGGTTCTTGCTGTTTTTTTTTTTTTTCTCTTTTGACTTAACTTCTCATATCTACAAAGGAGAATAAAAAAATATCTTGGTTACCCTCAGAGTTTGAAAGAAGTCAAAGCTATCCTGAGAATGTTTCAGGGTTGTTTTAAAGTAGGTGCTTAGTGTGGTAGAAAACGTTATTTTATGTGTTATGTTTTCAATGATATAGCCCCAAGTGCAATTGAATTTATGAACCATAGTAGAAACTCAAATGCAATAACTGTTAGCTGGCCTTCACCTAGAAGTCTTCTGGATGGATACATTATTTCAATATCCAGTGAAAACTTCATGAAAGAAGAAATCCTGCCTTCCACAGAAAGGTATGAAAGTATTAAAAAAATTATGTTGAGTTGCATGGAGCATAAGATTAACATTTTATATATAATTTTAGAAAGCTACGTTAGTGTTTTACTATAAATAGTAATTAGAAAACTTTGCAAGATAACTTTTGGACAATAATATCATTAGGATAATTCTGATGTACAGTATGAAATTTATTCCTGCAAATAGATAATAATGAATTATTTCAGGATATCATCAGGCTTTTGTGCATGATATACACCTTTTGATTTAAATGAAATTTCTACATATGAGAAGCTATGATTTCTAATTAACCATTTGTGCTTAAGTATAACAAATTATTTTCATAATAGATAATAAAAACAAAACATATATAAAGTTCTTTTTGCTGGTAGTACAAGCAAATAGACTTTCCAGATGTTTCTGATCTAATATCTTAACATTTGACTTCTCTTTACTGTGTAGGACATTCGCATTTGATAGACTTTCTCCAGGAACTGACTTTTTAATCAGTGTTATAACTATCAAGGGACTAAAGAGAGGTCATCCTACTGTCCTCACGGTTAGCACTTGTAAGTTCAAATTTATATTTAACTTCTCATGGGTAAAAATAAAGGAAATAGTTGTGTTGAAAACCAATATATGATTAAAATGAAATAACTATGAAAATGGCTTATGGCATACTTAAAGAGAAGGAGCACTGTATTTATGTGGAGAATGTCTGAGTTATATTCCTGCCTCTATCACTTAGTAGTTATGTGACCTTGGGAAAAATTGTTACATTCTCACTTAGAAAACGAGAATAATTATTCCTGCCTAGATATAAAATCTTATAACTAATATCAAATGCAAAGCTCTTTGTGAAAGTAAAATGTTCTCTAAAACCCTGAGGTACCATCATTATGAAAAAGTTAATATTTTTCTAATATTTTGGCTATATCTATAACACTTTATGAAAAACAAAACAAAACCTTGGAATATGACCAAAACATAGGTGGCACCGTGCTTTCAATTGCATTATTTGGGTTCAGTTTGTCTCTTCTGACCTATTAGCATCATTTCCGTGTATACCCACCCTGAACATATGCAGACATTCCAAAGAGCCCTGTTACTTGTGGGTCATAGCTGTATGAACAAGTGCTCAAGCGTCAATGTCCTAGCACTATGAAAGCAGGCTTACTCACAGAATTTACAATGTGGATAAAGAGAGAAGACCGAAAAATACAGCAACAGTCAAATCAATTTCTAGAAAATAAACTAAAAAAATCGAGCACTTATTATACACTAGCATGGTACTTACAATGTGCTTAAGTTACCACACTGAGTCTCCCCAGATGACCAAAAATGTAGGTTAAGGCTAGAGGTGTTCATAACTCATTATGGAAGATGAGATTTAATCCAGGTATCTAACTCTACAACTGATGTGGCACTGTTGCTGCTTATAAAGACTTTCCTAAGAAATATGAGATATCATTTTAAAAAATGATAGCTCATTATTTTGTATCAGTGAAAGCTTCTTGGGTTGCTGCTTAAATTTGGGTTATGTCATCATCATTGCCATCATTGTCGTCAGTGTTGTTGTCATCACCACACTGAGTGCTTGTTCTGTGTCAGGTACTTTGCTGTGCCTTTTTCTGTGCTTTATATCACTTAATTTTCGATGATAACCTTTATTCTATCAATTATAATAAGATGCTTTTTTTTTTTTTTTTACTTTTTTTTACAAATGAGGAAACTGAGGCTTGGAGAATTTCATTAGCTTATACAAGGTAGCAGAGATTTCAACCCATGTTTCCCTGACATCACATTTGGTCTTTGTAACCACTGTGCTTCAGTAGAAGGGCCACTGTGTTATAGTGAAGGCTGGCTCTATCAATTCTTGGCTTTGTGACTTTATATGAATAATGATACTATTTAGACCTTAAGTTCCTGGGTTTAATAATACTTTCTATCTTAATAATGCTTTAACTGTTTTCTCACACAAGGCTGGTAACATTTTTTTTTTTCACCCTTTACACTTTATAATTTGATTTTTGTCTTCTCCTGTATATTAATAATTTTTGGTCTTTTTGTACCTTCCTTTCTTTTCAAACTACCTCAAATCCAATTAGAAGTTGATGGTATATTAATAAATGTACTAAATAGAGCTAAAATATATTATGGGTATATGGAGAATAATAAATTAATTGCAGTTGGATGGGAATATCTGTCACAAAAAATAAAATAAAAAGGATTGTGAATCATTGGTACAAGTTTCAACCTACTGCTGAGATGAATTCTAATAAAATTAAATCAATATGTAGGTAGGGACAAAAAAAAATCTCATGCAAAATTTGAATTTCAGAGATGAAATTATTCCAATAAAATGTTAATGTTACGTTTCTTCCAGTTAAGGAAAGTAACATGAAGTTTTAATCTGAAATATAAATTAGAAATAGAAATATGTTACTGATTGAAAAATAAGTTTCTGTAACCTTCTCAGATAACACATTTAAAGGGAAAAGGAATTTGTGAACTTAAGGGGGATAGATATATCTCTCACTTTATGCAGTGTATAAAATTATAAGTTAAAAATCTCAATTATAATAACTTTATACTAAATTCTGCTGTAAGAAAAATAAATTTATAGTTAATGTAATTTTATTGTGGAAAAAGGCTTTCTAGAAATTTTTTCCCTTCCGTTTTAGAAATGAGGAAACTGAGATTGAGGGTAAATAGCTTGAGTAAGATCATATAGTGCTAAAATTGACTTGAAAAACCTAGGAATCTTGTTCTCTTTTCCACAGCATGACAGTCCAAGGTTATCAGTCCAGTGTAGATAACAGTAATGGTAAACATTTTCTTTCTTTCTTTGTTTCTTTCTCTTTTTTAAAAAAAAAGAAACTTAATTTCTGTGTCTTATGTCATTGCCTTAGACCCAGACCCACCATCAGATTTGCTGATTTTGGGGCAGGAAGAAAACACAATATATTTGTCTTGGAAATTCCCACAAGGAGGTTTTGAAAAGTTTCAGGTAAAAAAAAAAACAGTGCTATCATACGACCTTTCTGTTTATTGAGGTCTTCATCTCACTCTTTCTTTTTGTCCTTCATGTTACATGAATGGCTTTAGAAATCATGGTACCACTCTTTTAATGTATAATTTTTCTTCACAGTAATTTTTTTGTTGACTACTTTAAAAGTACAAAGCTGACATGGAAGGTGTTCAAATTTAAGTAAAACCTGATACTTGATTTAAATAAGTTTGAATTTTCAATGGAGATAGATATGTACATACATAGAACAAAGAAGTGAATAAAAGAATGACAGTGCTGAAGGTTAATGCTTCTGTGACAGCACTGGCCAAAACAACAATTTCAGAAGTTAGAGCTGAGTGATGTGCCACAGACTCCCTTTCAGCTCCAACTTATAGATTTAATTAAGCGTGGAGACTTCGAGCCCAGAGGGTAGGAGAGTAAGATATATAGAGGAGCCACTTTTCAACTGTCTTTATGGTAAATTTGTACATTTCCATTGCTGTTTGTTGCTAATATTGTAATTTGGCATCAGATGAGGACATATTTTATACAACCTACATCCTACATTGTGTTGGTTTGTGAAGAGAATAAGCTTCTGGGGACAATACTGTTGTTTTGTATACTATGGGGGCAAACAACTTTTCCATAATTTTATTGTGGTAGGAGATGATAATTTTAGTTGTAAATAACAGAAAGAAACCTGAAATCATTTAAATAATAAAGAAAACTGTATTAATATAAGTGTGCCTCATGGAGACTAAGGAAAAGAATATAACTTTAAAAAGAATTGGAATCAGATATTTTAAGCCCATTGAAAATTTAGGGTTTACTCTCTTCCATCTATTTCTTTCTGCTTATTTGCCGTAATTTTTTTCTTTTTTTTCCCTAATGACCAACTTTCTCTGTTAAGCAATCCATTTGGTGAGTGGAAGAATGCCATACACAACTTCCAAGTCCAGAGAAAGACAGATTCTCCCTAAATTCCCAAGGAAGGGACTGCGATTATTTCAAATTGGGTTAGACACCCAGTCCATTTCTGGTCAACAATGGTTGTAGGTCCCACGTCATTGAAAAATGGTGGCCACAGGTCTGTGGCTGATGGGGTTGTAAAGAGAGATGTTAGAAATTGGGCAGATTTAACAAAAGATGTTTCCTATAAATATATAAAGTAATATAAAATTCCATGATTTATAGAACTGGTACAGTCTAAAAGGACTCAGCAATAAAATTACCAGACATTTGAAATGAACTAGTTAGTATATATGGGTTTTATATGAATTTCTTAAGGGAATCAATGTAATAGTAGTTATGTTACAGACATAGAAGGAATCCACATCTATTTATAGTACCTGCTACTAAAGACAAAGAGGGGTGTGGTAGGCAGTATAATAGCCTTCCACAGATCCACAGCCTAATTCCTGGAATCTGGAACATACTATATTATGTGACAAAGGAGAATTAAGGTAGCAGCCCAAATTAAGTTTGCTAATTAGCGGGTTTTAAAATAGGAAAATTATAGTTTATCTGGGTGGCTACAGTATAATCACAAGGATCCTTTAATATGGAATAAAGAGGCAGAAGAGAAAGTATCAGAGATATGCCATGTGACAAAGATGAAAGGAAGCCATAAGCCAAAGAACGTGGGTGGTATCTAGAAGCTGAGAAAGGTTTTTATATTTGTGGGTATGGTGTTGAGATATTATTGTCAAAGTGTTCTGATTAACTTATTAAAAGGCTAGATTTTAGGAATTTGGATAGATGAAAATGTAAGGACTTTGAATGTTTCTCTGATAATTTTAGTATTCTGGGCCAGCTCTTGACCATAATTTGATAATAGTCAATTAATGATTGAATTCTAAAGTAAGTGACTATCAAGGAAAAAGTTCATGCTGCTGAATAAAGTAAGTCAATTTGATTAAGTTATAATTTTTAAGGGAATCAAATATATCATTCAGCTTTCTTTAGAGACTAGACTCCTTTTATCTAAAAATCAACCCTTACTTGAAAATTTCCTGTCTGCTTGAACAAGAGTGTATGCCATCAAGATTATCCATGTTTTACAGTTTCCTTGGTGTTTAAACAATGATAGTTGTAACACATATGACTACAGTACTTTGAATATATTAAAATTCTATATTAAAATAATCATGGGCTAAGCCTTCTGGTTTGTTCAGTTAAAATATTTTTAACCTACTTAGACCATCTGACTTTAGCTTCCACTTGTTAGCTTTACAACGGAAATAAACTGTCTACCAATATGTTTAAATAAGGCATTTGCATGTATGTATGTAACTCAGTAGTTGACTTATGTTGAAAATATTTAAAATAATATTATATATTATAATATATTAATTACATTAATAATTAATATAATTGATATTAATTATTATTATATAGAGAGATTATTATAAATCTATCTTTAAGGCTTGTGTAAAGTAAAAAGCCTTCTGTGGCTCCCCACTGTCTATCTAATGTTATATATATTGCTTAGTGCGATCCTCAGTGCCGAAGAAGGACTCAATATGCTCTCTACTCTTTTATTTTCCTTACACCTCAGATCTCAACACTAAATTGTGTTGCCCACCGTTATCCATATGTTTTATGTTTTCCTGACTCTATTCTTTGGTCATATTGTTCTTTCAACCGATACATTTTTTCCCTTTTTTTTTTGTCAATTCTTCAAGACCTTTCATGAAAGTTCCCTTGAACACCATTTATCGATTTCCTGTACTAGAAATTTTAGCGTTGCCCCTTGACTCCTCTCTTTCTGTCATGTCTATATGTACTCATTCACTGAATTGTAGTAATTCTACCTTAGAATTATTGCAAAAATTCTTCCCTTCCTTTCTATCCCCATTTTCTCTGCCTCAGTTCAGGCCCTTACCAGCGTTGCTGGCTCTTTCTTACTCCTAGGACCAAACTGACCTTCAGAACACATCTAAATCTGTTGAACCATTC